AGATCTTGTTACATCTATAAATTATATATAATCACTTATTAGTCACATTCCAACGTCTTGTTACACGTTGGAATGTGACTAATAACTGGTAATATATAATGAAGACGAAGGAACAAATTCATTATATCCACAGACGGTATTTCTCGTATGTTGGAAGATGGACGACTTCATTATATTTACAGAAGATGTCTCTCTCTAAGTTGGAGAGTTCTCCAGAGAAAGAGTTTTTATAACTGAGTATTAGATCATTTCATCAGCAAAAGTACAGACGATATATTTTCGATGTTTCACAAAACTATATGTCATACAAACCTACACAGTTCTACAGCAACATCTTTTGTGGGAAAACTTAGGAACGACACCTAACAAGGAGTAACCCCGGCAACCACAGGTTATGCAAATTCCAGAATCAACATGGATGAACAAGAAGTGACTAATCTAGTGAGCTTCCCTTATACAATACCACTAGTAAAATACAGACTATTTTTGTATTTTGTAATTCATCAATTATTTGATGATGAATATTTAATGTAGAACCACCTCCTCAGATATATAAAGTCCTAACTTACAAATCAATATGTATGTTAGCAGTAAAAGATGAAATAGTTTTTTACCAAAGACATAAAAACAAGAGGGCCAGCCGCCGAGAAAGTCAGATCCACAGAGAAATCCAGTAATGGGGAGGGCGACAACAGACCCTATCTGGGAACCACAGTAAACTAGAGTAGTCAGGAAAGTCCGCTCAGTCTTCGGGATCCACTTAGCTAGCATGGAATGCATGGCAGGAAATGTTGGCCCCTGGAGAAAAATTATGATTTTCAAGAATGAATATGCTTTAAAATTTAGTTTACAGTAACATATCATATTATTGTAACATTAAATAAAAATCTTATGTTTTTGTACAACTGTGTCTGTTTAACAAAAGTGGATATTTAAAAGACTTATTATGAATAAAATAAATATGCTTACTGTTACTGTTTAATAATATACATATGCACACATACTTAGTAAGCACAAAGTTACATAATT